CGGCAAAAAAAAAAAAAAAAAAAAAAACAGAGACTATTCGACTTATAAACCCTAAAAACTTTTCTCTGTTACTGTCTCAGCAACTAAACAGATTCAAACCCATCTAAAACTCAGAAATTAATCAGGTAAAGAAACTCAAACAAACCAGAGGGACTGTTCGTCGGAGTGTTAAAGTTCAAGCTCCTCGGTTCGCTGGAGAAGCTCCGGCGGGTAGGGTTAACGATTTCGGAATTTCTGGAATTAGGGCTTGCTCTCCCGGCGACCATCGACGGAGAAGACGACCTGTGTGACGGCGGCGCCATGGAAAAGATTGGGTGAAGATTTTGAAAAGAAGGGAGAGAGAAATCTCGAAATCTGAGAGATTCAAATGTGCATCGTGAATGGAAAGTCGGCGAAAATATTTAAGGAGGGGGGAGGGTGGGAGGATTTTGGTGTTCGTAACGGCTAGTTTTCAGAGTTACTGAAGGATAGGTTCTGAGACTTTTAAAATGAAAGGGTTTTCGATTAGACCGTTGGAGTTGTGAAGAATAAGTAATCGTGCGAATGTGGGAAGTGAAGTGAAAAGTTTAGAGCCGTTGGATCGATTTCCAAACGATAATTATATATATGTATATATTTTAGCAAAATAAACTTTTTTTTCTTTGTTGGATGAAATCTCACCTCAACTAATTTAGAGATGATTATGAGTATATAATAAAAAAATATTATATCTATTGGATCAATAAGAGTCTATGCTCAAAGTGGACAATATCATATCATTGTAAAGAGTACGGTTCATCTAACTATTCTTTTAGTATTGAAATTCCAAAACAAAACTGAGACTAATATAAACGGTGTTAATATATTTTGGTAGAAAGTAATGAAATGAATCTGAGTGGGCCACGACCCTCGTATCTGTGAACTTTGCCTCAACCCCTTTTGTTTGATAATTTTTATGATGTTGCGTGACTAAATTACCATGTTTTGCACTAGTCGTGTTATGTTTATCTAAGTCGTATTTTTGTATTTTAACCTTCTCGACTTTATATCTTTATCTATTAATTCATTATTCTAAATATTATCACGATATGATTTTTTTTTTGTCTATTGTAATTAATGATTTGAGCAATCAAAACAATTTACTTATTTGCCTAATACACCAAAATTCACTCAAAAGTCTATAAACAAATTTTCACGCTGCACAAACTCTAAACAGTCACGAGTCATCTTATTTCCAAACAACAAAATATAGTTTCTTGATCTGGACGCCACATTACCTTAAGGGGTTTAATTTTCAGTGTTTTAATTTTGAAATCGAAGGTAGACAACCCCTCGATGCAAAATTACAAATTCTCGACCTTACCCTAGAATTGAAGCAAAAAATTTCAAACTTAAAAGTAACCGTTATTAATTAATTTTCAATCTATATATTATTTTATTTTATCCAAATATAGAATATAAATGAATGCCAATTTTAGTATAAAATGTAAGTCATTAACCTTCAAACTCATTGACCAAATATTAAAATTTTTATTTTTTAAAAAATCTATCGATTATAATTAATATTTAAAAAAGTGTATAAACTTCAGGTATTGCATATAAAATATTATATTTAACAAATATAATTTCAAATTTAAAGTTTATTTTAACCTCTGATATGCTAAAAACTCATACTATTTTAATTTTTACGGTCCATAAATCTTAAAATTAGTATTTATCCTTAGGTAAAAATAAATTTTATCATTGAATATGGTAAATAATTAAAATGATTTTCACTATAAAAAATTAAATCAGACAAAAAAAAAGAGGAGGCAATAAAGGGTGAAGAAAAAGCGCCAAATTTATTTCACAGTTCATCCCATCCACTCGGCCGTCTTCATCCACACGCAGAGTCTTCTTGTTCACCTTTTGCGAGCGCTCCGTTTCCAGAATCCTTAAACCCTTCCGCCTAACTTCGCCGCCTCCATCAATCTTCCATTGAACCACCTTCAAACCTTCCGCCATGTCCCGCTCTATCCTCCGAGCTCTCCCTTTCTCCTCCCTTCGCCACAAGCCTCCTCAATTTCTCCCCATCTTCCACCGCATTTCCCATCTCCGCCTCGCTAAATCCATTTCCAGAACTCTGAGACCTATTTCCTCACTCTCTGTTTCCGCCACTCATCCGCCTTCCTCCGCCACCGAAACGCTCGTTTCCAGTTCGAATTCTCCGTCGCCTCTCAAGGATTCTCTTCAGTGGATCAATCGTACTGCGTTCTGTGGTGAATTGTCGGCTGGGGATGTTGGGAAGCGGGTTCGGCTTTGTGGTTGGGTTGCACTACATAGGGTTCATGGTGGTTTGACTTTTCTCAATCTTAGAGACCACAGTGGTATCGTACAGGTTTGTTACTTCTGTTTGAATTTTTGCGATTAGCTTGAAGTTGAAGAAGCTTTATTGTTGAGTGTTGATTTTTACTGCTTGAATTAGGTGACTACGCTACCTAACGAGTTTCCTGATGCTCATTCGGTTATTAACGACTTGCGGCTCGAGTATGTTGTTGCTATAGAAGGCATTGTACGGTCTCGACCTGACGATTCGATTAATGTGAAAATGAAAACTGGCTTGATAGAGGTATTTATGAATTTCGATTTCATTTTACTCCTCATTTTGCCAGGCATTTGGTTAGAAAGATTTTTAGATTTCTCGCTTATTGCATTATGCTCATGCCTGCTCCCCACGGCCCCTTTAGCCAGCTCCTGAATGAACCAGAATTTTAAGTTATTAAGTCCTCAATCTCGGACTTGAACCTAGTATCTGGGAGGAATTTCCAAACATCCCAAGTCTTTGCAAAATAAATATGTTAATTCTTGGTGGCAGTAATCCTGGGAGTTCTTGATCATGGTTGTTAAAACTCGAGATAGGCTAGTCGTGGTATAATTTTGTAGTTCTTTTGGGATATCCTGGTGCTTCCAAATAAATTACACCTGCGTGGTGTTTATCTCAACTCAAAGGCAAGAATTCTAAGCTTGTAGCAATTAATCCAATTTTTAAAGCTTTAACGGAGTGAAACTCCATGGTTTTTTGAAGAAGGGGCGAGAGATTGGGTTCGAGCCTGTGATTTAGTTGACTTTATGGGCTCTTCATGGATTATTCTCACTAGTTCATTTTGTATTATAATGGTTTCGTGATCAATTTGAATTGAAGTGACTTTTTATAAGTTCCCATGGTTGCCTTTCTTGTAGCTTCTCAATTATTGGATGAAAAGTAACGTGTCTTACTAAGTGAAGGGATATGGGTTGTAGGGTAGTTGATGCCGATTGAAGTAGTATGGAGTTTGAAACTTTTTAACTTTGTTATCTTAGTTCTCTTCTCTAGGACTATGTAAGTTTCCTATGACGCAACTATCATTCTATTTTTTCAGTTTTTGTTCTGATAATTTCTTGATATATTATAGGTTGCTGCAGAGCATGTTCAAATCTTAAATTCTGTTGGATCAAAGTTACCTTTTCTAGTTACAATTGCTGATGATGCAAAGGATTCTGCTAAAGAGGAAATTCGATTGAGGTTGTTATTTCATTCTATCATTTCAGGCCAAGTTCTAATTTATATTTGTTCACTCAAACCAGATGCACAGTTTGATCCCATATTCTACGTGCTTAATTGAATCAAATGTCTGAAATCATTTGATCATCATCCTTCTTTTTTGGGTTGGGGGGAGTGAGTTAGGCGCACAGAAAAATTTCAACTTCCTTCCCTTCTTCGATCTTTCTTTAGACTTCCAGAAGGGTGAATGCCGTGAAATAAGTCCTCTCCCTTATCTAAGATGCCCATGGGTTTGAGATGATCACATTTTTTATTTTCTCGGAACCAAATGCTATCTGGTTTTAGATTATAAGGAGTTGAGTATTGATAGGTACCGATATCTTGATCTTCGGAGGAAGCAAATGAATTCGAACATAATGCTTCGCCATAAAGTGGTGAAACTCATTCGAAGATATTTGGAGGATGCACATGACTTTGTGGAGGTACTGCCCTGTTTATAACTTATAACTGACCGTTGACCCTTTTTTCTGAAAATTTCTTGAATCATTCTCTTCATTAGAACTTCACATTGTACTAAATAAATGGTTAGAAATTGAATTTGTTCTAGCCTTATTTCAACTTTGAACTTTTGTTGGTTATAAGGAAGATTGAGACGCCAATACTTTCTAGATCTACTCCAGAAGGTGCTCGAGATTATTTGGTGCCGTCTAGAGTTCAGGTAGCCTACAAATCCTCAACTTCTGTTGATTTTAATTCTCTCAAGGCAGGTTATTTTGATAACTAACTGGTATTTTTTGATCCAGAAACTTAAAATAAATTTCTTAAGATATCTGAATGTGATGCCATTTTCAATTTCTAGATCTATTCTCAGTTGCCCTTTTTGAATGGTATACCTTGTTAATTCATATCCATAAGTAAGTGCTAAGCATCTCATAAGACAAATTTTTTTTAATTCCATTTTAAGATATCTTGCGCTAATGGTTTATAAACTGAAATGGAAGTGCTAAGATATAGTTCAGTTCTAATAGTGTATGCCCAGGTGCACATTTTCTGGTCTCACAGAATGACATCATCACCATCTTCTTCTTCTTAATGGTTTAACACATTGAATAGTAACGCGAATTCTCTTCAATTGAATGCCTTTGTTTGAAGTTTTCATGTGAAGTATTTGTCTTTTCCTATAAAGAATGTAGCATAATTGTGATTTCCTACCAAAAATATAACATAATTGTGTTTATTTAAAGTTTTTTTTTTTTGTTATATGGATTCTGTTTTTGCCTGGCTTGCAGGTCTGATTCAGTTTAAATGTGTATTTTGAAGCCAGGAACATTTTATGCTTTGCCTCAAAGTCCACAGCTGTTTAAGCAAATGTTGATGGTGTCTGGTTTTGATAAATATTATCAAGTAGCAAGGTACTGACTATTATATCATTAAGCACTACTTCCATTATGTTTTGTCTAGTTTTGACCAACTGACTTGCATCTACTATTATATTATCTCAATCTTCCCACATTTCCCAGTAAATTCGTTTTATGTTTATGCATTCTCTTTCTTCACAACCGAGATGGTATGTATAGAAATTTCGTGCATAGATCTAGGTTGATAGATAGTTTCGTTGGTCTTATAAAAATTGGGAGCTAAGTTCAATATGTTTTCAACCCTTTTGAGTTGTGAGAATCGGGTGGTTGTTCTAAGTATGTAACATAAATTGTATTTGCACCGTCAGTTTCATTGTGGATTTCTTTGTAGGTGTTTCCGAGATGAAGACCTAAGAGCGGACAGACAACCTGAGTTTACACAACTTGATATGGAGTTAGCATTTACAACTTTTGAAGACATGCTGAAACTCAATGAAGATTTGATTAGAAGGGTAAACTCTGACTATTAGAATTGACTTGA